TCCTCTGGTCTGCTGGGAGGCGCACTCTGCGGGGGGAAGATGCCGTGCGGGTCCATCATCACGACATTCATGTTCATGGACGTCACCCAGGACTCGATTAAATCCACGAAGAGCAGCGCCATCACGGCCGCGCACACTCCCGCCGCGCACACATAGGGCAGGATCCCAGCTCTGCTGCCTCGCTTCCCCAACCGGCCATTACACACCAACAGTCCGCGTCCGACCATGGTGCACGCTGAGGCCTGGAGACCCAGAGAGCTGCTGCACCTCCCCCAGTAAACTGCCTACCTCCTCCCCGGGCAGTCGTTTGTCATCGCACTACTGCGCGTTGTAGCGGCTTTACGCAGCGACCCGGAGCCGGGGCAGCCGCAGGATGAGGACGGTCAGAGGACCGAGGATGCTCCTGGTAGAGGAGCTCCGACCTCCGGTACGTCTGCACTGATGCTGCGGCTCAGCAGGACTCACTGGACCGGCGAGGCTGCACTGTTTATAGAAGGAATTCTCCAGAACCGGCGGAATGTAAACTAGTCCTCGTCCTGACGCTGCTCTCAGCTGACGCCCAGCCGATTGTCCTGGATGAGCAGTTTTATTTCTGCACACGGAGCTGCTGAGGTACTGGTACTCTGAAATACTGCATACTCCTGCCAACAGAGCGGCGGTGCCCTTGTGACACCTCTGATGACTGTTAGCTGCGCCGCTGTGCGTTGGTCACAGTCATATGATTGAAGCCGCAGCTCATTGGGCTCCTGTCACATACAGCCCGATTGTTCCACAGCCTATTAAAATAAGCCGTTGTGTTGCTGAGTGGCTGTAATTGGCTCTGAGTGTCTGTGGACCCTGCATGGGGGCAAATGTGTGGACTCACGTTTGGTTATCGGGTGGAAACGATGCAACATTTACGGTATGGAAAAAAAAGAATGAAAAATGTGAGATTAAAAAAAACACAGCCCTAAAATAATCTGAAAATCATTTGACCAGATGTTTTTGTTCTGGAACTATGGCACTCCTGCCGCCAGGGATTAGGGCTCCTCCTACTGGTAGACACAGGAAACTGATTTTGTTTTAAACACTTGGAAAAAATATGGGTTCTGGGTTTAGAATCAGTGTTAATTACTTTCTTAAATAATGATTAATAAATGCAGGTACAGCGTGTCTGTCACAGACTGAACTCCTGGGTCAGTTGATCTGGACAGTGTCCCTCTGTCAGGCTGCTGGTACTGGGAGACACACGGTGTCAAAAAAGTGAACTACAAGTTGAACATACAGAAATATATTCTGGTCCAAAGTCTGTTGTCTTCCTATCAGACTACCTGGTAGAGGTGATGACCAGGGGTCAGGGGTCAGGGGTCAGGGCTTCAGTTAATTATTATCATACAGTTGTTATTCTGTCTCCACTTCCATGTTTTTATTTCTCTGGGAAAAAAGCCTTTAAATAACAACGATGTGATCTTACTGTTGATCATTTGACATTTTATTGTCTTTTGTTGTTATTATTTGTTATTATTAACAATCAAATGATCAATGATGTAAACTGCACGTTTGTTTCAGAATCCATTTCAAACAACAAGTGAATACAGATGTTTGTCTTTGTTTCCAGGACTGTGTTAACTATTAACCCTGACAGTAAACAACATTCTGAAGGTCGTTTGTAGGAAATGATGCACATCAGCTTCAAGGTGCCATTTGTCTTAATTCTTTGGATGTTTATCCCTAAATAGTGAATATTATTACATGATACATACTTTTTTTTCTTAGAAGTACTTTACAGTACAGCATGGATACATGACCCCCCCCCCCAAAAAAAAACGATTTATTAATTTCCTGTTTTGAGTGCTTTCAGTTTGGCCTCACTCCTGTCCACACCCACACCAGGACTGACCTGATGTGTCCAGTCCTGTGGACTGTGGCAGTGGGAGATTTACATACGAGGAGGGAGATCATGCAAACTCTCCACAGGAGGAGCAGCAGGAGTTTGCATGATCTGTTTGGGACAATGCAGAAGCACAAACCAGCATTTCACAACACAGATCGGTTGCTAGGCAACCTATATTTGTTGAGTTTAAATTAAATAGGGACTAAAGTTGTTTTGGTTACACAGGTGTTTCTCAATCCTCAAACCAACAGGACGTTCTCCCACCAGCCTGCAGCGAAGAGTAAATATTTATATAAGTATATGTTCATAGGTCACAAATACTAATTAGAATATAACAAACTGTTTAGAGAATTTAAAACATTGAACATGAAAAACATAAAGAGCAACAATTGTGATATTAGAATGTGTTTTATATGAAGTTACGAATCAGGGAGGCTCATAAATAAACCCTGTTGTCTTTGTTACAATAATTTGTCTTCATGACCTAAACTCAGTAAAGTAGTTCAGAATCATGAATAAATGGTTAGGGGGACTCGTCATCTTGTCTTCAACAGTAAACTCCAACTTGACCACAATCCCTAGACACGATGACGTCACTCCTGTCTGGTCCACACAAGGGGAGGGGGGCAGTGGAGAGGAAGACGGGAAAAAAACTCAACCATTTCTACGCTGGCGGTGCGGGGTCACGAACTATGACCTTTAACAGGAGAAAAACCCAAACAAACATTTTATAAAATATAACAACCTCTCAAATTCGCGAGCGCCGTAACCAACAGGTAAGTCACGGCTGGCGGTAGAAAAGTCTGGAAAGCGCGGGCAGATAGTGGACGATAAAACAGTGTGGCTAATACCCCTGTTAGCCTGCTAGCTAGCCCGCTCTGAGCTCCCTCCCTGACCGTCTGTAGCAGCTCGGGCTCCGGACGCAGACACGGGGCTCCCCGCGCTGACTCCGGCGCTGTTTACACACAGCAGACGTTATTGTTAAGCCGTGACAGTCGTGTCGTCAGAACACAAATGGACTTTTGTTTGATTCACTGACAGAGTCACAGGGAGAGGCGGGCGGACCGGGCTCCTTTCTGCCGCTGTTTGCTGCACATCCCCTGAGCTAATGCTAACTGACAGCTGCTGCAGATGAACTCGACCCTTTTACCTTTGCCATCCTGGGCACAAGATTAGCTTCAAAGAACAATAAGCTCATTTATTACAACGGTGTTATTACAACAGCCTCAGGCACAGAGTCGTTCGACCAGAACACTGTGTGTAAATGACATAAAAACGTATTTAAACAGCTTTCGTCTCCAGAGTATTGGATATTTGCCAGATTCTCCATTTTGTTCCGTGTTATTATGGTGCGTTCACGGACGCAGGTGTTTATATGGACAGTCTGGTAACACATTCATTAAACAGTAGAAAGCAGACTGTGTCTGGTAGTCTGTGGTCCCGGTAATAAACTGGACGGTTAGAGAAATCAGTTTCACGGAAGAACTTTTGTTTTGTTCTGCTCTAAGTCGCGGGGAACCAGAAGAAGAAAGTGAAGGTTCATAAATTATGGATGTGTAACAAGGATGCACCGACACACTGTACAGACTGTGTTGTGGTGTCAGCCAGTGTTTTCCTCGTTTGCACCAATCGGCCCATTAGAAATGATAAAGTGATAAAGTGTTGCCTGTGGTCCTGGTTTCTCACTGTATCTTTTGGAATTAGTTTTCAGTAGATATGATATCACTGAGCAGCAGACGGGGTGGAGCAGCTTTACTCCACCTCACCAGAACTGCTGCTCCTTCAATAGAAATAAAATAAAACACTTTTTTATGGAAGCTAATTATGAATGGACTGATTTTAGGAAGGTGTAAAAACAAAAAGTAGAAAGAAAAACAAAAATATTAAACTAAAGTCCTAAAGTCATACTTAAATAAAACATTGAACTTTGCTGTATTCAAAAATAACTTTGTTAGTTCATATGAGGCACATTAAAAATATGTATATATATATAATGTGTATATATATGTATATATATATAGTACAAATGAGCTGCTGAGAACTTCCAGCAGTGTCGGCCTTAGTTGTCTAAAAGCAGCAGTGTCAGTGCTGTGGTGTCCTCGTCCTCTTCCTCTTCCTCTGCGGTGACTTGCACCTCCATCACTGACCACCGTGTGTGTGTTTTCTTTCCAACAGACCTCACTAATGACCTTACATCATCATGACATCCAGCCTGAATCTGCTGACTCGTCAGAAATTGGATTCTGTGGCAGAGGTGAGTGTGTGTACAGTGTGTGCAGCCTACTGTGTGCAGCCTACTGTGTGCAGCCTACTGTGTGCAGCCTACTGAAATGATGTGGAGCAGATGTTGAGAACCAGGAGATTTTTCTCAGTTTCTACTTTGTTTAAAATGTTTGAACAATAAAAATACTTCAAGAAGAAGAAGAAAAGTACACGTTTGAATCTACCTAAGGTTTTCAATGGAGCTGTATATAAACAGAAGAGTGTGTTTTCTCAGGTAGTCACATGAAAAGTATTGCAGTACTAATAATAATACTCCTTAATAAATGGTGCCTGTTCTTTCAGGTTGTTTCCACAGAGCCGGCCACCACACCACAGCATATACAGGTGCTGACGCTGCACACGCTCAGTTTGAAGTATGTTGTCGTTAAATAGATTATTATGGACTTACATGGACATACATCTTCATCACCAACAGATTGTAACAGACCAAGAAACCGGTCAGAAGATCCAAATCGTGACGGCAATGAATCCCTCTACTGCCCCCAAGCAGCAGTTTATCCTCACTACAGCTGACAACTCAGGAGCAGGGAAACTCATCCTGGCCTCATCAGACAGCCACAGTAACAAGCAGCTGATCTTCACTGCAGCAGACAGTCTGATGCCAGGAAGAATACAGGTACGCCTGAACTACGACCTTCCTTCTTCTTCTTCTTTTTCTTTTCTTTCTTCTCTAGTGATTCCAAATGTAGATCCCTCTGTTCCAGAGTTAGGAACTGATGTTCAGATGGAACAGAGTCTCAGACTAGGATCACACTGGGGCTACAGCTACACTGGGGGGGGGGACACCTCAATATATTATTCTGACTGTAGTATTGCAGTATATCGTTGCCCCTGTATTATATTATATACGGTATCACATGATTCCCCCAGTTAGAACCGACCTGCTGAGTTCATTCAGAGTTGATGCTGTTGGATTAAGATTTGTTTCACTTTGTAAACTGATAACAAAAACAAACCCCTCAATAAACGAGTACTACTCGGTTGAGTACAAATACTCAGCAGATACTGTTGTGATCAGATTGTCACAGATCCTGTGTCAATGGAACGTTTGCTGGTGCAGTCAGGGGACCTGACCCGGTCGCAGCCGGTGGAGTACTGTGTGGTGTGTGGGGACAAGGCTTCAGGTACACTTTGGATTTGTCCTCTGACTGTTTCTTCACTGAGAGTCCAGCGTGTCCACACAGAAGCTCATGACTAATTCACTGGTGTCCAGGCCGGCACTACGGAGCAGTCAGTTGTGAAGGATGTAAAGGCTTCTTCAAGAGGAGCGTGAGGAAGAGCCTGACCTACAGCTGCCGCAGCAAACAGGACTGCGTCATCAACAAGCACCACCGCAACCGCTGCCAGTTCTGCAGGCTGAGGAAGTGTCTGAAGATGGGGGGGGAGACTGAGTGTAAGTACAGCACGGTACGGTACAGTACGGTACGGTACAGTAATGATGTCACGTTAGCAGCTTCAGTTGTTCACCGTCCATGTCTTTGACAGCCGTCCAGAGTGAGAGAAAACCCATCGACCTGCTGCCCAGAGAGAAGCACGCCAACTGCGCTGCCTCCACACAAAAGATTTACATCCGCAAAGATCTCAACAGTCCGCTCATCGCCACGCCAACTTTTATCTCAGAAACAGAGCCAAACGGCTCCAGGTCAGTGTCGGTCAGTGTCGGTCAGTGTCGGTCAGTGTGGAGGCTCCGCTCCAGTGATTCTGAACGGGATCATTCAGAAGTGTGTGTGTGTGTGTGTGTGTGTGTGTGCAGGTCCACCCTGCTGGACCAGGGGATGCTGGTAAACATCCAGCAGCCGCTCATCCAAAGTGATGGAAGTTTGTTGCTGGCCTCCAACTCCAAGGTGAAGAACATGTAAAAGTGTTTATTTAAAGAATGTTTCTTTTCATCAAGGATCATGGAGGCAGAAAGACATCAGTGTCTTCCTTTGTCCCACAGTGGGGTTTGTAGAAACTACAGTATAGATACAGATATAAAGTAATATCTGTGAACGTTTGGATGTGGAAGGGTTGACTATAGTCCTGTCTACAAATAGGGGGCGCTGCAGGGGAGATTTGGAGAAGAAAACCCAATAAATATATTTATTGGCTTGTGGTTTTAAACGAATGAACCAGGTGTGTTTATAGATTAAGGTTGAAGGTTTACTCTGAAGTCTCCTTGTTGCCTGCAGGGGGAGTCTGCTCACGGAGACCTGGGGACTTTAGCCAACGTGGTGACATCACTGGCGAACCTGAGTGACACGCTAAAAGAAAGCCTCAACAACGGCGACACGTCCGACAGCCAACAAGAGCAGTCGGCCAGTGAGATCACACGGTCAGTCAGACGGTCAGTTTTGGTTCGACAGGAAACGGTTCCACACTCTGTGGAGTTTCATAAATGTACTCTGTTTCAGTTTAGGCATATTTTAAAATGTGTGTGTGTGCGTGTGTGTGCGTGTGCAGTGCCTTTGACACTCTGGCCAAAGTCCTGAACACACCAGATGAAGGTCTGGAGCAGAGTCTCAGAGAAAAGGCAGAGTTCGAGGGAGGGACTACGATCCGTCTGATTGGTCGAGACCAGGAAACACCTATAATTGAGGTGGAGGGGCCCCTGCTGACCGACAGCCATGTTGGATTTATGGTGGGAGGAGTTAATAAAATTCAATGATTTATTCAGTTATTACATTTAAATTAAATTAAAATACAAGTTTGTCAGACATTTGGTCCCCGAACCTTAAGTTTGACACAGTATGAGTTAAATACTTTATTACAGTTGTTGTTGGATTATTACGATGGATTGTTCATAGTGTGTGTGTGTGTGTGTGTGTGTGTGTGTGTCCAGCTGACCATGCCCAGCCCCATGCCTGACTATTTGAATGTCCACTACATCTGTGAGTCGGCATCAAGGCTGCTTTTTCTCTCCATGCACTGGGCGCGCTCCATCCCTGCCTTCTCTGCCCTGGGGTGAGAACAAAGAGACTAACTACCCCCCCCTCCCCATCTTTACTTAATGTCAGTGTAACATCAGAGAACGTGCTGACTTGTGTGTTGGTCTGATGTCAGTCAAGAGGCCAACACCCACCTGGTCCGAGCCTGCTGGAACGAGCTCTTCACCCTGGGTCTGTCTCAGTGCGCTCACGTGATGAACCTGTCCACGATCCTGGGCGCCATCATCAACCACCTCCAGAGCAGTAACCAGGATGGTAGGACCACAGACCCCGTCATCACCTCACAGTAGGACACACACACGCACAAACTGAACGAGTGACATGTTGACTGGTTTCACTGCTCTGCTGGTGCACATGGTGTGAGGAGTGGTTGTTGATGTTCCGTCTTCAGGAAGGTCAGTTCTCTGCTCCAAAAACATGACGATGAGACTTAAGGTTAGTGTTAATTAGGGATGTTAGGGATACGGCGTGGATCGATTAAAAAACGATACAAACGAGTCCCGCAGACCAGGACACTACACACTGTAGTCCAGTAGGTGGCAGTATACTCCTAAAAACGTTGGTTGTCAGGTCCTACGTAGGCTGAGAGACGTTCAGGTGTTGGAACAGAACGTGGGAAGAACTGGTTCCACAGACACCAACAGTGTTCTCCAGTGGAACTCTTTCCACTTCCTGTTTCTTCTTCTTCTTCTTCTTCTGTTGTTTCATCTATGGACAGTTAACCAGGTCAACCAGACCAGACCAGTTTGACCAGTTTAACCACAGCAGATCAGTGGTGATGAAATGGTATTGAATAGACCAGTGTCAGTTGTTGAGGTTCACAGACCAGTGTCAGTTGTTGAGGTTCACAGACCAGTGTCAGTCAGTGATGGGATTTGACCCAGTTTTGACAGAGCAGATCAGTGGATTTGGTCCCAGTTTCATCATCATCATCATCATCATCATCATCTGTGTCACATAATGATAATGACACAGACTGAACTCAGCATCATCATCTCTCCTTAGACAAATTTTCTGGGGAACGGGTGAAGCAGGTGACGGAGCACATCTGGAAGTTCCAGGAGTTCTGTAACAGCATGACGAGACTGGAGGCCGACAGCTATGAATATGCCTACCTGAAGGCCATCGTGCTGTTCAGTCCAGGTAGGTCGTCTGTTGACGGCTGTCGTCCCTGTGGTTCAGTGTAGTTGACCGTGGACTGGTGTGTGTCTCCGTCCTCAGACCACCCAGGCGTGGACAGCAGCGGTCAGATCGAGAAGTTACAGGAGAAGGCCCTGATGGAGCTGCAGGACTACGTGCAGAAGACCTACCCTGATGACATGTACAGGTACGTGTGTGTCACATGGACACACACACACACACACACATACACCCTATAGTTGATAGGTGATACTTCCCTACTTTTGTTTTTGACATTCAACAAAAAGAATGGTTTTTGTTTTTCAGACTGACTCGGATCCTGACCCGACTGCCTGCGCTGCGGCTCATGAACTCCAGCGTCACAGAAGAGCTCTTCTTCACTGGCCTGATAGGAAACGTCTCCATCGACAGCATCATTCCCTACATCCTTAAGATGGAGACGGCCGAGTACAACAGCCAGGACTCGGATCCCAGCGACTGACACAGGAGCCACTGACGCCCCCGCTCTCACACGGTACGGACCCCCGACCTCCAGGTTCTTTTTGACCTCTGCTATAAAGAAAGGTAGCAGCAAGTTTTGTCCAAAGTCACACAGGGATCGTTGTTAGATTTAGGAGTTCTGCTCAGCCACGTTAAAGCAGGGGTCACCAACGTGGTGCCTGGGGTCACCTGGTGGCCCACGTGGACTACCTGAGGTGCCCGCGTGGTATGTTCTAAAAATATAACTAGTCAACAAGAGGGTCCCAGAGCTGATTATTATTATTATTGTTTATGAAGTCTGTATCAAACAAGTTCTGGTCGTAATTACTAAGTGACCTTGAAGTAGCTCTCAGTGTCAGAAAGGTCGGTGACCCCTGTGTTAAAGGAATTATCTGCAGCTGCCAAAACATTTGTTGCAATTTATTTAACAAAAAGAAAAGGCACTTAAAATGACTCCCTGACCTATGGTGTCCAAATAGTTTGTATTTTATTTTATTTTTCTGACAGGTTTAATTCAGTCTCTCACCTGAATCACTCTCATCCTAATTCTAAACTGAGTCAAAGCTTTAAATATTTGTGTTTATTTGAGCCTTTGAGATCAGTATAATCTGAACTGACTGTTGACTGCACTCTGAAAACTCTGACCTTGTTTTAATGGTCTGTCTGACAATATTACTGCACACGTTCAGTCAAGGTGCTCCTGTCTGTGATGTTGATCGACTGACACCAACACTGTCTGTTGGTCACATGATGATCAACATACAAACAACTTCAGTTGATGTCTTTGATTTAAACACAAACAGCTAAAAACAAAAACAGTGACCTCTAGTGCCAAAGTCGAGCATTAACACTCCAGAGAGATGCAGATAATAATCGGCTAACAAATAACGGACACATTGTACCCTACATGTAATTTTTTTTTTGGGGGGGGGGGCTTGACGTGTGTAGCAACAGTTAAATTGGTGAAAAACAAACCTGATTATTGACATCACAGCACGTACCACCGTAGGATCAGGGATCCCTATGTTGAAGACCTCGTCTTTAGAGAACAAATTTGTAGATCTTTGTAAAGACAACAGTGTCATTGATTTCACGTCATAAAAACCAATGACCTGTTTTAAAAGTTGACCAATACACACCTTGGATGTGTATCTTTTTAGACGACATTTTTTAGGCCTTTTTCATCTGTCACGTGTCATCAGTGACGTGCACTCTCTCTTTACGTACATCCTAACATGACAATCGTGTGTCCGCTGTTTCCTTTTCTTTTTTTTTATTCAGTATCAGCGACATCCAGTCCATGTGGAACGATTAGAGTCAATTATTTCTCCAATATAACTGAATTATGTTAAAGTTTTTTTCTTCCTTTTTTTTTAGAATGTTACTCATGTTACTCAAAGGTAGCCACGCTGCTGGTTCTGTTAGCGTCTGTATGCTAAGTGCACATCTCCCAGCTTTGGTGGCTGTCCACTGCACTCATGTTTTCTTTAACTTTGTTGTAAACAAACGTTGCATTTATTCTGTACTTAAAAAATTGTGGGGGGGTGTTAGGGTTAGGGTTGGGGGGTTCATTTTTTGTTTGTTTGTTTGCATTTCTTTTTTGCAAATTGATTTAATTAAATCAAAATAACTTGCACTCACAAGAAGTATGGACCTGTGTTTGTCTGTGAAACAGAAGACGGGGAGTGACGTGTGACGTGTCACACACTGAGGTCAAATTCATTCATTCACACATGAATATTTCAAACTTTCTCTTGTCCAAAGCAGAAGTCCCAACATTTGTTTTCGTCTTAATGATAAAACAATAAGAACTTCAACTTTGTGCCACCACAGACTTGAGTTCATACTGTGTGCTGGTCAATCTGAAAGGTCAAACCTTTCAGAACAGTTATAGGTCAAGACGGGGAACATCAGCAGTGACATCAGCAGTGACATCACTCTCTGGTCCACAACCAGCCTCCACAGAAACACAAATCTTTGATTCTTTTGTAATCCATCGATCATTTTTTTCCTGATAATGTTACGACTGTAACAGTACGACACAAACCCACCCAGACACTTTGTAAAGACACTGGTGTAAACTCATATTTTGTACATGTAGTTTCATTAAATGAGTGCATGTTGTTTTTATGCGACTTTTACAATCTTTTTGCTTGGTGCCCTCAAAGGGAACTTTGTTGTTTTTGTTGTTTTTTTTTTTATCGTGCATTGCTGTGCATGCAGAGGTTGCTTAAGTGCATTTTATTAAATGCTGTATGAATCTGTTGACTTCATTTAGACTAAATGTGGCTTCAAAAGTATCAACCATAATCCGCTCCCACGTTAACGGGTCGTGGGTCAGGTTTTTGTTTACTGCTCTCCCATGGTTATGTTTCTGTTTTGTATATGTTTTTGTTGTTGTTGTGTTAAATACGGTTGAGACATTCAAACATTTGTGTTTTACTGAAGTGTTGTCATAATTCTACAGTTCTACCTCACACCAATGACAATATAAAAACAAATGTATTAACAACTGTATCAGCATTCCTGTCTCTGGGGCCGGCTTCCCTGAAGCCACATGTAACGGAAAAATAAACTATTATCCATGGACGAAACGAGACTCCGTGTTCCCTCTCAAACTCGCTGATTATCTGTATAAGTTCAATATAAGTTGTTGGTCTAACAGGTACAAACGGTAACACATTCAATAAAGTCTACGGATTACGTAAACCATCAAATATTATTACTAAAATATTACTTGTAATGATGTACCGTTTATTTTTGATATCTTGTACACGAAATAATATTTTACCAGAAACGGTTCGGTAAATAAAATTGAGAAATTAATGTATTTTTACGATAGCTCAGCTTCCGCCTCGTCATAATCAGACGTCATAATCAGGCGACTTCCGCCGGTGGCTCAATGTTGCTTGTGCGAGTCGCTGCTATTTGTTTGTTACTAAAGTGATAAATTAAGGGTTAAAGATGCCTATGAAAGGGCGGTTCCCCATCAGGAGGACACTGGAATATCTCCAAAAGGGAGAGATCATCTTTAAGAACACCGTGAAGATCATGACGGTGAACTACAACACACATGGAGAGCTGAGCGAAGGAGCAAGGTCAGAGCTAACGGCTAAGCTAACAACACTCAGGATTAGCCACCGTGTTAGTTGACATATTATTTAAAATAAAATGTCCTTTCATTACAAATGTCGTCACGGTGTAAGTACTCGATTTTCAGTAAATCATATGTCCCGGAGCTAGAATGTTGTTTTTGAAAAGTGTCGGTTAAAGTTCGATTATAATTTTGTAACATGTATTAAAATAACTGACAGAAGAATATGACGAATGAATGAACGTTCTATTTTTGTCACATCAGAAGAGTTCCTCCTGTTATTAATATTATATTGTATTTGAGGAGGAAATGTTGTGGATTTGACTAATTATTTACTTGTTTTTTCATTTGCAGGAAGTTTGTGTTCTTCAATATTCCTCAGATTCAGTACAAAAATCCCTGGGTCCAAATCATGATGTTTAAGAACATGACACCGTCACCGTTCTTGAAGTTCTACCTCGGTGTGTATTCTCTCCTGTTGTTTACATTTGAAGTTTATTCTAGGACTCAGTCTGGTTTATCTCATGTTCCACCTGCAGGTGATGGAGAGCAAGTGCTGGTGGACGTGGAAGGCAAAGACTACAAACAGATTTCACAACATGTGAAGAAGATTTTGGGCAAAACAGAGTAAGTTATATTTATATTTTTAATTTATAATTTTATAATTAAATTAAATATATTATAATTTTAATTCAATTCATGATTAGTCAACAACCACAGCAACACCACACACAGCAACAATACTTACCTACTAATACTACTAACACTAATCTATCTTTCTACTACTACTAACCATAAAGATAACAATTTCAGTTTATCAAGTACAGAAGACTATTTCAGTTCCTTATTTTGTTTTTTGTTTTTTTGCCCCCTTTCTCCTCTGGTGTAGTACTAGTAAATATCCACATGGTGGAGTCTCCTCCTCGTATGACAACATTATTTGTGTGTTTTTTGTCCTCTGCTCACAGGAAGGTTTTACAAGCTGAGGCCAGGATGGAGGCCTCGAACCCGGCCAACTTTGGACCAAAGAAGTACTGTCTGAGGGAGTGCATCTGTGAGGTGGACGGTCAGGTGCCCTGCCCCAGCTTCGTACCCCTGCCCAAAGAGATGACGGGCAAATACCGCAGCAAGATGGCAGCGTCGCAGGAATGAGAGACTGAGAAGAAACGACATCCAAACAGAGTGATGGCTGACGAATCAGACGTCTGGAATTCTACCTTTTTATTGGATTACAGCTGAACGAGCCACAGTCACTGTTGTCACTGATCTGACTGACAGGAACGCAGCACCAACCCTGGACAGATCAGGTCACATGATGTTTTTGTCTGACGTGTTTTTTTTATTTTTCATTTATTTATAGGTTTGGTTTATTTGGTCATGTGACCTGGTTCAAAGTTCATTTAAACATCCAGATCCTGAAGTTCCATCATGTCAGTTGTGGTCTGTGCTGCACTTGGGTGTGGAGTCATTGATGTCACCGAGTCTACCACGTGTGGCCACGAGTGGAACTGCACTGAACAAAGACTGAATCTGTCAACGTCTGTTTATTAAATTCAATGACTGAACTGCAGCTTCATCTACAGAAGGACAACGAGGTCATGTGACCAGTATAATCTGTGATCATGTGACCAGTATACTCTGTGACCAGCATAATCTGTGACCATGTGACATGAGCAGAGGTGTGAGAAACATCAAGAGAATAAAAAAAGTTAAAGGACAAAAAAAAAGACAAAATGTTGAAGGGAAAAATATACAATCTGTAAAAAAAAAAAACCCAAAAAGTTTATTCACCGTAGGATGAAGATGAGCCAACGTGACTCTGTAGAAATGTCTTCATATTTATTGTATGAAAATGAAGCTAAAAGTTAGCGGTCAGTCAAAGCAAAACAGCCACCGTTGGCTCAGGATCAGCAGAGAAATAAAGAGTTCCAGTTCCTAATCACAGGAGTTCAGCTGTTGTTGTTGTTGTTGTTGTTGTTGTACGACCTGTCACTGGTCTCCATGGTCTTGATGAAAAGTGGACCGGATCGTCGGCGCTGCGGTCCCTGGACGGTGGTGACTGTGGAAGTGAGTGGGTGTTGATGAAACTGATGGTTCAGTGACGGTGTTGTTACAGGTGTTGTTGTCGGTGTTTACCTTTGTTTGGAACAGTGTGGATGTTGGTGACGGTGTCCTGTCCCAGTCTGTGGAGACGGAAGGAAAAGGATCGGTGTTAGTGAAGCTGCTGATGGAAATACTTCAAATACCACAGAGTACTTCAGTCGTGGAGGTGGAGATTAGATCTGGTTTAACGTCAGGTCTCTGTTTAATTTGACTGGTCCACGCCCCCCCCACCAGCCCCTCACCTCTGTTCCTCTCCCTCCAGCAGCTTCATGTAGGTGGAGATCTCTATGTCCAGGCTCAACTTGACGTTCATCAGTTCCTGGTACTGTTTCAGCTGCAGGGTCATGTCCTGTTTGGTCTTCTGCAGAGCCTGCTCCAGCTCCAGGATCCGAAACCTGGCCTCCTTCACCGCGTCCTCCCCGCGCCGCTCTGCCTCTGTGATCTGACCCTCCAGACTGACCACCTGGGGAGGAAATACTGTGATGAGTACTCTGAGGTATTCAAATACTGTGATGAGTACTCTGAGGTATTCAAATACTGTGATGAGTACTCTGAGGTATTCAAATACTGTGATGAGTACTCTGAGGTATTCACCAACACCAGAGCCTGTCAGTCGACCCGGAGCGTTCAGTCTGTGATGATGTCATGTCTCTAATTACACCCAGTTCCATCAGGTACTGTTGGAACTGTTAGTGAGGAAGTGTGTTAATCATCTTTGACTAAACTGTGGAACGTCGTGGTACCGGTTCCTGTGGAACGTTTACTACGAACCAAAGTGGAGATTAGTTTTAAAAGAACATTATCTGATCAGATGGAGGCGGAGCCTAAAGTGTTCAGCTGTGGAGGAGGAGGAGGAGGAGGTGAGGACGAAGATCTGATCTGATCTGATCTGCTCTGTGGTCCAGGTCTCACCTGGTTCTTCAGGGCTTGGATCTCGTTCTGCAGACGACTGATCATCCTCTTCAGCTCAGCCATCTCTGCCTTGGTGTTCCTCATCTCGTCACTGTTCAGCTCTGCCTGAGCCGACATCTGGTTGAACTGGTAACACACACACACACACACACACGTCAGAGTTGGAGTCAGCAGGTGTCACATGGACCTGGTCGTCTCCTCGTTTGACCTGGGTGAAGGTCCGTGGTGCTCACCTTGTCTTTGTACCAGCGCTCCACCTCCTCGCGGCTGCGCGTGGCGACGTCCTCGTACTGAGCCTTGACTTCAGCCACGATCTGGTCCATGTCCAGAGCTCTGGAGTTGTCCATCTCCACCACCACGGACGTGTCCTTCAGGCTCTCCTGCAGCTCCCGCAGCTCCTGCCGTGCCACAGAGTGTCGGTTAGAAACCCCACCCAGAACCGCCCCGGTCCCGGTCTGGTCCCGGTCCACGTTTGACTGAGTTACTCACGGTGTCGTACAGAGTCTTCAGGAAGTCCAGTTCTTCAGCCAGACCAGACACCCTGTCGTCCAGCTCCACCCTGGACATGTAGCCTGAGTCCACGTCCTGTCGTTGGTCAGCAAACAAACAAACAACGTCAGTGGTACAACACACACACACACACACACACACACACACACACACTGTGACCGTACCTTCTTCAACATGACAAACTCATTCTCTGCGTCAGTCCTCATGTGGATCTCCTTCTCGTACCTGAAACGCAGTCACATGAAGCGTTAGTCTCAGACGCCTCACATCCTGTTTCACACACACACACACACACACACACACACACACAGCTCACCTGTTTTTATAGTCGTCCACGTTTTTGTGCATCACGCTGTTCTCCATGTCCAGCCTCTGCTTCTCCTGGTTGTGGAAGTCCAGCTGCTGCTCCAGGCCCAGGATGTAGGACTTCAGCATGGGCTCGATGTTGGAGGCGGCGTCCGTCTGCTCCTTCAGGACGCTCCACTTGGTTTCTAGCATTTTGTTCTGCTGTTCTAGGTATCGGACCTGACGCAGAGCGAGAAAGAACCGGTGAAGGACACCGTGTCAGATGATGGAACCTCAGAGAAGACAGACGGACAGAGGGACAGACAGAGGGACAGAGGGACGGTCTCACCTTGTCGATGAAGGAGGCGAAGCGGTTGTTCAGACCTTTGATCTGCTCCTTCTCCTGGGTGCGGACCACCTGGATGGTGGGGTCGACGCTGACGTTGATGGGGGTGAGCAAACTGCTGTTGAAGGTCACGGCGGTGATGGCAGCGCCGCGCTCTGACACCGCCGCCCTGACCTTGGGGACGGGGTGGCAGCTCTGAGCTCCTGTATATCTGGTGATCCTCAAACTCATGTCGCGGCTGCCGTGTGTGGACCTGAAGGAGAGTCGACGCCCAGGCTCAGATCTGCATCCTGTATCTCCCGGGCCGTCTTATAACCCTGACTGGGCGTGGCTCCTGATAGGACAGGTATGTGGGTGAACCTGTCTGACGTTGGCTACCTGTTCTCCCACCTCCTCCTGCAGCCAGAACAGAGGAGGAGGTTCACGTCGCTCAACAGGAATCCAGAACATGTAACACCAGACAGGAAGTCTCCATCAGTGAGAAGGTCCACGGAGTCAGGAGGAGGAGGAGGGGAGGAGGAGGTGCTGGAGGAGGAGGTGCTGGAGGAGGAGGTGCAGTGGTAACTCGGCAGCCGGTGGATTTGAACCTGAAACCTCCCAGACCTAGGTCCACTAAGCCACCACTGCCCACAGTATCTCTGTATCTCAGTATCTGTGGTATGTACTGTATATGTACAGTATATAACAACAATAACAGAACTAGTATAAATGTATGTGATGATGTGATGTGAACAGGTTTATAAATACTTTAAATATATCAACAGTATAAATGTTCATTAATAATTCAGTTACAGTATATTGGCAGTTCCAGCAGATATATTAGTGTATGGGCGTCTACACTAGTAGATATTAATACATTTATACACATGATATAAGTTAAATATAAATATGCATATACACACATCTACATCTACAGTAAATGCACACACACACATTTACTCCATTCAACAACAGATATCATGTTATTTATTACATGAACTCATATACATTATATATATTTT